AGAAATCCCATAAATTTTCACTTTTGGTGACAATGTGTAGTTAATTGGTGCACACCACTTAGATAATTATAATTGAATTACTTACTCATATGTATAATGTATATATAATACTTTTGTCTTATACTTCGATAAAGGTTGTTAGGCGAAGCCCACCGGAAACGATCATATGGTAAAATAGGCACCAGAGCAGATGATGGAAGTTACATTGGAGGACCATAAATATGTGAAAAGTTATACTCTAATAATCATGCATTTTTATATGATTCAATCCAATAAATTTACTATTTTTGTTATATTATGAAAAGAAAGGAATGAAATAACATAAAATCGAAGTAAGTATTAAAGGTTCAATTTTTTCAGCTTAAATATTTTCTCCAAAAAAATGACAAACATTTTGCACAATATTATTTTCCAAAATTTATTTATTACATAAATGTTTAAAATAGTTATTACCATTTTTCTAAGTTTAAAATTAAAATTTATTACCATTTTGATCCAAGTGTAAAAATAATAACATACACTTGGATTTTTTATTTTATTCCACGGGTAATGAAATATACTTGGAATAAAATTTCCAAACCATTAACTGTTTTTAATTTGATAATATGAAAACAAATGAATCTTTAACATAAAACGGAAGTTCTTTATAAAAGTTCACTTTTATTGTTAAATTAAAAAAAATAATCCAATTAAAAGTCATTTTATAATGTATTGAGATGGAACCATAAATTATGAATATGATGTATGAATACTTCTACTTCGAGAATCACAAATGCTTTATTTTTTTAATATTTAGAAGGAATTGACTAAATTGTACATTGTGGATAGATCATATTAATCTGGCGATTGATGGTCTCAACGAAGTGGAATTACCGCCTCTTATTTCGATGATGTAAATGGTATGAAACCTAGCATTTTGAAAAAATTGGACACAAACGTTTAAATGTCTAACAAGTGTTTTTTATACTTTACAACGAGTCTCAATTACTACATTTTATAATGTCATCAAGGCTTCACTAAATGAAAAATCAGATGAAGTTAAGGCTTTTAGAGAAAAGTGAGTATAATTGTATCTTTTTGTGATTATCTTTTTGCTATTATGACTTAGGGCCTGTTTGGAAATAGCGTTAGAGATTAGCGTTAGCATTTTGGATAAAATTTTAATGCTGCAGACTGTTTTGAAAATGCTAAAGCTAAACACTGTTGTAGATAGCTTTTTCAAAATGCTAACGCTAATCTTTAATGCTATTCCCAAATATGCCCTTAATAATTTAACTCTTTCTCATTTTCACCGTGTAGATTGTGCTAAGTGAGAGTGATCTCCCGCCATGATCTCAAATCTATGTAACATAATTGTTTATTTTATTAATGAAAAAAATACAATTTTTGTAATTAATAAAAAAAGGAGTAAAATACTAACAAAAAAACTTAATTGTGATTTATGGAGTACACAGATTTTAGGGGAAAAAACATAAAAAAAAGACACTGCAACTCTCCAAGTATTGCTTTCTGTTAAAACGAGCCACTGCAATTTTTTTTGAGAAATTTACTTAAATAGCACTAAAACATAAGTCATTTCCTTAAATAGTACTACATGTGTTTTTCTTCCCAATGTAGCACTTTTAGTCATTATGCATTAGTCATTACTTAAGTAAATATTCGCCATCACTGGACATTATGGACATTATTAAGTGCTATTTAGGGAAGAAAACAATTTAAGTGCTATTTAGGAAAATGACTTAAGTTTTAGTGCTATTTAGTGCAAATATTTCTTTTTTTTTGTTTTTTATAAATGTTCATTTGTTTTTATGGAGTATACAAATCTCCACTTTATTATTAGCAATTTGACCAAAAAATGAAAAAAAAAATTAACTCCGAACAAATTTTTTAACCAGAATTTTGATAGATGTTATTTATATTTTACATTGGAAAATTGTATGTTGTAGTTTGAAAAGTAATAAATCATAATGACTTTAAGATTCTGATATGCAGCGAAGACCATGTTCTCACAAACTGTACGAGTAATGTAGTTTATAAAAAAATTCAAAACTTTAAAATCATTTAACTTTTGTAGCTTAAAATATTAAAAATTCTATATTCCATTATATACCACTTTGTCCAAGTGTTAACTATGTCAGACTAATTAGCACTTGAGAGTGAGTGCTCGAGTTTCCACATCAGAAAATAAAGTTCAATGCTACTAGCATATATAGAAGGGTGAAGCCTAGCTACCTATAAGCTTATGCTTTTGGATTAGAATACTGGATCCCGACTTTATATATGCACGTGATTAATTTTATTCAGCACTCTACCCGTTGTTCTCAACCCGTCGGAGTTTTAACATTTATTACTCCACGCGCTTTTAAAATAGTTTCTCTTTCACTTTTTTCATTTCCTAAAACACTTCCATTTTTGTAAATTTAAAATTTAAACTTTAAATTTAAAAATTAAAACTAAAAACTAAAATTTAGAAAATAAATATTTAATATTAATATTAATATTTAAAATACAATATTTAAAATTAAGGTTTAAAATTAAAAAAATTAAAATTTAAAATCTAAAATTTATATTTAGAAAATTAGAAATTAAAAATTCAAAATTTAAAACTTAAAACATAAAATTTAAATTTAAAAACTAAAAATGAAAATATAAAATATAAATTTAAATTTAAAATTAAGAATAAAAAAATAAAATTTAAAAATTAACATTGAATATTTAAAATTTAAAATTTAAATTTTAGATTTTAAATATTAAGTACTAAATTTAAATCTTTAATTTGAAATTTTAAATTTCAAATTTCAAATTTCAAATTTCAAATTTCAAATTTCAAATTTCAAATTTCAAATTTCAAATTTTATATTTTAAATTTTAAATTTTAGATTTTAGATTTTAAATTTTATGTTTTAAATTTTTTAGTTTTAAGTTTTAAATTAAATAATTTATATTTTAAATTTGAATTTTAAAATTTAAATTTTAGTTTTAAAATTTTAAATTTTAAATTTTTTATTTTCAATTTTAAACTTTTATTATTAAAATTTTAATTTTTAAACTTTAAATGTTAGAGGTTTAGTTTTTAATATTAACTTTTAAGTTGCAGATTTTAAATTTTAAATTTTAAATTTTAAATTTTAAATTTTAAATTTTAAATTTTAATTTAAATTTTAAATTTTAAACTTATAATTTTTATTTTAAATTTTAAGTTTTTAGTTTTTAATTTTGACTTTTAAATTTTTAATTTTTAATTTTTAATTTTAAACTTTAAATTTTAAGTTTTTAGTTTTGAATTTGAACTCTTAAATTTTAGATTTTTAATTTTTAAGTTTAACTTTTAAATATTAAATATTAAATATTAAATATTAAATTTAAAACTGAAAAGGAAAAAAGAATTGTGGGGGATGGAGCAAAAAAAGAATGAAAAATTTCCTTGATTTTAACGTAAATTGTTTTCCCCACATTGAAGGAAAATATTTTTCTTGGAAAATATTTCTCTTCCATTAATGTCACCTAACACGGGAAAATAGAATCAAATTTTTTTTGAAAATATTTTCCCCACATCCAAACACACCACATCCTAAATAATTTACAAATGGTTACTACATTACCGTAATTAAAGAGTCAAAAGGGAAGGTGATGACGGATTTAAAATTGGGAGGGTGTGTCGGTGGTAAAAGCTTAGGCTAAATTCAAAAGGTCCCACCCGTTTGGACAATAATCGTTATGTCAGATTACCAGAATTTGTCCATAGTTAGACCGGAACTCCATGTTTGTGCGGCTTTATTTTCCACCCATTCAACGCCGTAAGTTATTTCTTATTATGTAGGACTTAAAATTTTTTATTCTTTAAGTAGGACTTAATAATGTTTAGTGGAAGAAATAATATTCATCAGTAATGATAGATATTTTCTTGAATAATGACTAATAGACAATAACCAATGGTCCTACATAGAAAAATAAAAACATATAGTCCTACATTGAGAAAGTTATTATATTTTCATCCTATTTAGGTAAATTCCCCTTTTAAATACCCCTCTCCCTCATATTTTTCATCATATTTCATTTTTTACAATATTCAATAAAATATCTCAAGCGTTAATATCTTCATTATTAAATTTAATTCAAATACATAGCATAAAAATATGACATTTTAAAGTTACATTTTGAAATGAATCTATTGATATTAAACATTTAATAATTTGTGATCAAAGTTTAAAAATAATAACCATAAATATCAAAACAAGGAGAAAGATACTCCGTATGAGACTACATATAGGAGTGATAATTAGACTCAAGCAATTTAACTTGAGTCAAAAGGTTTTTTTCCCTCTTGATGTAATTGCATGCGTGTTTCGGAGTACTAATTACTAGCTTAATCGTAGGCTTATTATTTACTCTAATATGTGCCTCCTCTTTTAAATATTACTCCCTGTATTCATGGCTTTGAAATATTATACTCCCTTGTCCCCTGGAAATAATTTCCCATGTTAGCTGGCACGCATATTTAAGAATAGAAAAAAGCAGGATAATTTACCTAAATAGGACTAAAACATAATGACTTTCTCAATATAGAACCATATGTTTTTATTTCCTAATGTAAGACCATTGGTCATTATCTATTAGTCATTATTCAACTAAATGTCCAACATCACTTGGACATTATTCTTCTCACTAGTCATTATTAAGTCCTATTTAGAGAATAAAAAAGTTTAAGTCTTACATTGGAAAATGACTTATGTTTTAGTCTTATTCAGTGCAAATTTCACAAAAAAAGTACTACTTGTACTTATTAAACTCCCAAAAATGTCCCTAGCTATTTTTATTTGTGGAACTACTACTCTGGCAGTGCGTTATTGACATATACACGTAAAAAGTAAGCCAAAAAAAAAAAAAGAATGAGAAGAATATTTTTAGAGAAACCGATCTGAAAAGTGAGAAGAACATGAAGTATATTTAATACCAAATCGTGTACTATATATATGGGCCTCGTCGTCTCGTAATTACATTACAGTACATTATTATATTATTGTTTGCTAAGGTACGTACGTAGGGTGATCAGGATGGCCTGCTGTGGCTTAAGTGCGAGGGATCACTGGAATGCAAGATATTGTTGCTCTTTTATAGGGGTTTTCTGCGGTCTTGTTATTGCATGTATTGTTTTAATAGCTATTACGGACCGCAGATGTAAGAGGGCGGCCAGGAAGGTGCCGCTGCCGCAGTACACCGTCACGAGCGCGGCGTTGTCGCCGAACGCCACCCTCTCCGGGAACCTTTTGGCAGGGGACTTCGTCTTCACACTCAGGGCCCACAACCCATACCAAAACAACACCAACAAGACCATTTTCTACGGCAACACCACGGAGGTGAGCCTCGGCTGCCGGTGGTTCACCCCCTTCCGGATTATTAACTCGTCGTTGGGGTTGCTGTTACCTCCGATGGGCCCCGCCTCGCTTCCTCCGGGGAACGACTCGCCGGACATCGCCCTCGAACTTCACGTGCGAAACATGGGTTTTCCCGACGACGGCAGCGGCGGCGGCAAAGCATCATGCGACATGGCCTTGGACGCGTCGTTTCATGCGGCGTTTCGTGAGGAGGAGGTGGAATCAAAGCGTCGCCAGGCTTCGGTCCGATGCTTCCCTCTCACATTCACTTATCAAACAAAGAATTTCACGGGGGACTACGTCCGTGCATGTGCTACATCACGAGTTGAGGTTGATATATGAGGACTTGATGTTATGCTACTACTCCCTTTGTCCTCTAGTATTTGTCAACTTTTGATTTTCTTCTGGTCAAAACTGATAAATTTTGATTTCAAAACTAGACAAATACTCTCGGACGGAGGTAGCACATCATACTCCATCCGTCCCGAAAAACTTTTCTTCTTTCTTTTTTAATCTGCCCTAATAAACTTTTCTCATTCCTATTAAAAGGCACTTCTACTCCTAGTAATTATTAACTTACCTATCATATTACACTTATTCACTATTAATTTACATATCCAATCCTAATTTACCAATCACACCAAAATATACTTTTCTTAAATTACTTAAATATCAAAATATCCCATGTTTTTAGGGACGGAGGGAGTATATATCCTCCTCTCATATCCATTTCCGATCCTGAACCTTTTTATTTTGTATTCGTTCCAATTAAGAAAATATATGTATCTTGACAATCTTCAATAGCTAGCATTGCTGCTTGTTTTTTTATATCTGAACTTGTATATTGTTTCGATCGATCACCACCATCGATAACTTTGAATTGTGATGAAAGTAGAAGCTAGTGATGGAGAAAAACAATCTGTCATTCTCTACTTGATTCAATTACATTTGGAGAATAGGAAATCTCTTTTTAAAGTGCATCCCACATCAGAAGTCCAAGAGTAAAATAATTGGTATATAAGTTATTGAGTTGAACTAACTAATCGATTGAATTCAATCTTTTAATGTGGTTCAACCCAAGTGTCATATTACCCAATCCAGTTATATCTACCATTCTATCCAATCCTAAATTCTATCATGGTATCAGAGTGAAACTTGGTGCGATAAACCCATAGACACCCCAACGCCTTCCGATCGGGAGGAAGATCTGTAATCTCCCACGTATGATTCTTTTCCAACGCTGCAATTTCATGTTGCATGGCCAATCGCCAATTGGCATATTGCATAGCCTCCTTAAAATTCTTTGGCACCTCATTTGAAGAAACAGCAGCAAGATATCTTTTATACCTGTCATGTAATTTCTCATAATGAACAAAATTGTGGATAGGATACCGAGTACCTGAAGAACTAGAAGAGGGAATAGAAGGAGCAACAGGAGTCATCGTCTGGGCTGTGTGACAATAGTAATCGGATAAGTGAGCAGGGGGTCGCCTAGAACGGACAGGATGTAAGGGAGAGGGCGACGGAGAACTGTCCGGAGCAGTCCCATCGTCGTTGTCACTGGAGTGGGAGGATTGCCCGGAGGATTCTGTCGACTGTTGCTGCGGTACAGGTGTTGTGACTGGCTCGGAGGAGGTCATAATTTTGGGATGAGGTTCAGGTGAAGATGGAAAATCAGCATGAACCGGAGAAAGAGATGGATCAGGCGGAGTACCACTGGCACGAGAAAGAGCAAACGGGAAGACAGATTCATCAAAGGAAATATCTCGTGTATGAAAGAAACGATGTGACTCAAGATCATAAACCCGCCAGCCTTTAGTGCCGGTAGGATAACCCACAAACATGCATTTGACACTACGTGGATGAAACTTATTAGGTGGACGTTGTAGATGACGAACAAAACATAAACACCCAAATACCCGAAGATGAGACAAGTGTGGAGGTTTTGAAGAAAGGAGTTCATATGGAGATTTACCTTGCAAAAGAGGAGTCGGAGTACGGTTAATGAGATATACTGCTGTACGTACACACTCCCGCCAAAATTCAATTAGCAAAGAGGCCTGAAACATAAGAGATCGGGCGACGTTAAGGATATGACGATGTTTACGCTCGACCTGACCATTTTGCTGTGGGGTATTAACACAAGAAGTTTGAATTAGAACACCCATATCATTATAAAACATACGCAAGGGTTTATTGAGGAACTCAGTACCATTATCTGAGCGCACAACCTTAATTATTTTACCAAACTGAGTTTGAATCATGGTAAAAAATTGTTTCAGGCAACTGGTAACCTCAGTTTTGTCAATAAAGTTATATCTACCTAATCCTAAATTCTATCATCTCTCTTGATAAAAGTAAAAAAAATATGAAAATATGGAGTACTACAATAGAACTGAATGATTCGAAAACGAAACCGAAATGATCCGAAAAGTGAAGATGTGATCCGATCTATAACCGAATAATTAACCAAAATGATTCGAAACAGAACAAAATATATCCATACCCGATTTAAATCCGAAGCTGATTAGATCTCTCTTGATTTAAACAATTTGTCATTCTCTACTTGATTCAATTACATTTGGAGAATACGAAATCTCTCTTGATAAAAGTAAAAAAATATGAAAATACGGAGTACTAAAATAGAACTGAATGATTCGAAAACGAAACCGAAATGATCCGAAAAGTGAAGATGTCATCCGATCTATAACCGAATAATTAACCAAAATGATTTGAAACAGAACAAAATATATCCATACCCGATTTAAATCCGAAGCTGATTAGATCCGAAACTGATTAATAGAAACCGATAACACCCGAAACTAATTATACTCTAAACTAATTCTGCCTTACAATAAGCTTATTGTATTTGTGCACATTAGTGAACAATTACATTTAAGTGATTTTAAATTTTTACTTATATTTTATTAATAGTTATATACTCCATACTTATATTAGTTACTCCCGATGTTCCAAAATGAATTATCATATCTAAACAAAATCCAAAATTTTATAACTTTTAAATTTATTTTATTTATAAATCAGTAAAAAAATGAACAATAATACAACTTACATAAAAAATAGTCAAAATGTATACCCACTGGGTTCTAAGATTCCCCCAATTAATCATCATTTTAGTAACATTATTTACGAATGACCACCTAGAGAATAAATCTCAATTATAGAGGATGACATAGGTAATTAAAACTTATTGAGAACCGATTTAGAAAAATATATTATTACAAAAGACCACTTTAGAAATTTACTCATAAATTTATTATGCCATATTATTGGTGCTTATATACATTGTACACAATGTCCTAAGCACATAGTAAAATAAAAATTTATTTTAAAAAAGATATGATCGATGCAAAAAAAGAAATTGAACCCTCGTTCAGTACTAATCAAACTACCAACCATGCTGTTTAAATGATTTTAGATCCAAAGCTCAACACTTAGAGATGTTGAAAAAAATGTATGCATTCATTGAAAATTCAGGAATACAACCCAAGATTAACAATTGATTTCATTGATTTCTGTTACCAGCTCTTCATTCTCCAAAATTGCACTGACTGTATGTATCTAACCTTGGATGGATTGTATGGGTCAAGCGTCAAAACATATAAAATCAAAATATAAACTTTTACTTATTTAAAATATGATAATATATAAGATGTCTAGAGTCTAGACTGGTGTGTGCATATACATATAAAATACTGGTATATGACTAATAAAAGACTTGTACATGTGAGTTAACATTGCAAACATATATGCAGAATACATGGTCAAATATGGAGGAATACACATATGAACATAATTGAAAAATATGATTTATTAAAAATGAATCTTGGAAACTTAAATACCTAAATTGGATAAGCGGTGGGTTCATTCTTTGTTTGCGTCAATGTTGGTAATTTTAGTGTCATCGGCTATTTAGTGTAATTGGATTAACTTAAGATCATATCGGATTTGAGTTTTAATAAACGTTGTTAACGAGTTAGGAGGTTCGGAGTGCACGCTCGTTCAACAGTATTAGAAATTCCACTACGGGAGTCCGTAGGCGGCAGCCCCCGGTAGCGGGGTCCAAGGGGCAGAGCCCCTGGCTGGGTCGAGCATGTAAAAAACGTACTCAAAAAGGGTTAACACAATGAACTATTCGAATAAATGCATATTTATTCGAATAGTTCAGCACATGCCTATTTTTGAGAACCCTAACTATTCGAATAAATGCTCATTTATTCGAATAGTTCAGCACAGAGCTGGTTTTTGGAAGACCCCAACTATTCGAATAAGTTTCCACTTATTCAAATAAGTCGAATTGGCATGGATAATTGCCCAAAAGATAGGTTTTTCCCTACGGGTTGCGTTTATTCGGCCAACAGTCACGTCCGCCCAAATGCATATATTATGGGCTTGCATGGTATGTTTGAGGGAAGAAGGAAGTCCATACTCGTTTTGTATATTATTCGGAGTAACATCTTATCCGATTGCATTATTTTAGTATACCCCGAAATAACTTTAATATGAAAGTGTGATTTCACGCAATTCATTTAGTCTATCAAGTTATTTTACGTTACATTATACAAAGAAACGCTACTACGCAGCGTTGTTCCTCCATTCATATCTCCCCAATTTCCAACAAGCAATATCCGTAAGAAGTAAAAATTACGAAAAGTGAGGAATTTGATATTCTACTACGTAACATTTGATGAACACGTGCCTTGTTTATATACACAATCAGATTCTCCAGCCCCTGGTGTGAAAGAAAACAAAAGTAAAGGATGTAGGTAAAATTCATTTAGAAAAAATAGAAAAATTGTAAACCATTAATCTCCTTTTATGAAAAGAAAGGTAGTGAAAAGTTCGGGTATAGAGGGAAAGTGAGAATTGATTTTTGTTTAGAGATGGAGGGAGTGTACAAAAATCAATCTGTGCTAGTTTAAAATTTCATTTTCAAGATTTCATTTTTATTTTCTATAGATTAGAGGCAGTATTAACAACAAAAAGAAAAATTATTTTTAACAACGAAATGAGCATCGTGCAATCACTAAATATTTCAAATGAACATATGTGTTTCTTATAAATGTACAATAATTCAATAAATACTAGTTCATGTAATATAGTAACACCTAGGTTGACAATGACGTGATAGGACGCACTCGCACAAAGTGCTAGTGCAACCACAAAACTTTACACTGACATTTTATACCCGTATGAGCCATTAGTGTGGAGTGTAAACCATTATGTATAATTTGGTGTACACTTAGGTAGCATGGTTGAATTTATTGAAGAGAAATTTACTTATATAAATAGCACTAAAACATAATGACTTTCTCTAAATAGCATCACATGCATTTTTTCTCTAATGTAACACTTTTAGTCATTATGCATTAGTCATTATCCAAGTAAATATTCGCCATCACGGGACATTATGGACATTCTTAAGTGCTATTTAGAGAATAAAACAATTTAAGTACTATTTAGGGAAATGACTTAAGTTTCCAAAGGTCACAATATGTTTCCATGTAACACAAAAGGAGC